CCCTACACCATTTCAGACAAATGGCTGTCCAGTCTCTTCTTCAAAACTTCCAGTGTTGGAGCATTCACAGCTTCTGGAGGCAGGTTGTTCCACTGGTTAATTGTTCTCACTGTCAGGAAGTTTCTCCTTAGTTCTAGGTTGCTTCTCTCCTTGATTAGTTTCCATCCGCTGCTTCTTGTCCTGTGCTTTGGAGAATAGCTTGACTCCCTCTTCTTTGGGGCAGCCCCTGAGATACTGGAGCACTGCTATCATGTCCCCCCTCGTCCTTCTCTTCGTTAAACTAGACATAGCCAATTCCAGCAACCGTTCCTTATATGTTTTAGCCTTCAGTCCCCTGATCACCTTTGTTCCTCTTCTCTGCCCTCTTTCCAGAGTCTCAACATCTTTTTTACATCGTGGTGACCAAAACAGATGATGGTCCGCTCCTTCCACAATGCCAACACAACCTCTTAAAAACTATCATTGGTTATTATTGATAGAGGAGAATATTCGTAGCTCGGGTTAGATCTGTGGGGTCCTTGGCGGATGGACCAATACTTGACAACCCGCTTAACAACTGTGGGAAGAAAGGTCATAAAATGAGGCAAAACTCACTTAACGGCTGTCTTGCTTAGCAACAGAAATTTTGGGCTCAATTGTGGTCGTACGTCAAGGGCTCCATGCAGTTTCCTCAAGGGATTGAAGTCTCTCAGAATGACATGACAAAGTGAAGGATGGGGTGGGGGGCATTTTTGGACCGAGGAAATTTTTTTTTTAATAATACATCTTAGCCTTTTTAATTACTATGTAATTCAAACGATCTGTCGGGTTGTTGTTTTTTTACAAGAAGAATCTTAATTAGAGTAGCGATTAAGCGCATTCTTTTCTTTTTTTAAAAAGTACCGTGACAGGAAGGAAATGAGATGCTGAAGGAACGGGGTGGGGGGGGGGAGAATGGATTGATGGTTGGGGAAAAGGGAGAAGCACCCGTAGGAAATTTAGGATAATTAGAAAGCCGAGGACATTTTAAACCGGAACTGGATGATTTTCTTTCGGCTGCTTTTGTAAGCAAGGTTGATCTCCGTCGGATACAATCAAGTAAATTAAACCGTACAATATGTCAGGTCAATTCTTCTGCACTTTTGATTTTTTTTTCTTATATGGAGAAAGAAAAGAAAAGAGAAATAAACATCCCAACTTGTTTCTATAAATATTTATGATTTATCAGTTGCTTTTTTGTGAGATGTGCAGCTCTATAGATTATAATCACAAATGCTTAATATTTTATGAGCAACATATTGTCTGGGTTCTAACATTTAACTTACTAATACATGTTAAATTCCTTTCTCTCTACCTCATTTTTCTAGCCATTGATAAAAGGTATCCCATGTTCTAAAGTATACTGAATTTTATTTCTCTTTCATTTTCAATGTCAATCTATCCATTTCTGCACACTCTAAGCAGCTCTATAGATTAGATAGCTAGATAGCTAGATAGCTAAATAGATAGATAGATAGATAGATAGATAGATAGATAGATAGATAGATAGATAGATAGATAGATCTATAGATGATAGATAGATCTATAGATGATAGATAGATAGATAGATAGATAGATAGATAGATAGATCTATAGATAGATAGCTAGATAGCTAGATAGATAGCTAGATAGATAGATAGATAGATCTAGATATAGATAGATAGATCTATAGATGATAGATAGATCTATAGATGATAGATAGATCTATAGATGATAGATAGATAGATCTATAGATGATAGATAGATAGATAGATAGATAGATAGATAGATGGATGGATGGATGGATGGATGGATGGATGGATGGATGGATGGATGGATGGATGGATCTATAGATAGATAGATAGATAGATAGATAGATAGATAGATAGATAGATAGATAGATAGATAGATAGATAGATAGATAGATAGATAAACAGACAGACAGACAGACCCTCCAGCATTCAGAGGCCGAATTTATATTTCAGCTTTTGCTACTTTTCCTTCAGGCAAGTCTCCTTCTTGAGTTGATTTAGACTTTATGTGTCACCTGCGATTACGCAGATGATAAACCTGACCTTTTGAAAGATCTTTGCCGCGACTCCGCATGACGTTATCATGCTGGTTATTATGCGATCTGTCACCACCAGGCAATCACTGAGATGTTCTTAGTCTTCCAGAAGTAATGGAGTATCCGTCCTATGTCTCTTCCCCCCCCCCCCCCCGGTCTTCCCCTTCCACAGTGTAGATTTCATTTCACATCGATTTGAAATTCGTGGCTCATTTTGGAAGGGTTAACATTGGAAGTCATTTCCCCCCTCTCTTTTTATCTAACACTTTTTAGGGTTTATTTTTTTTTAGAAGGTTTTGCATTAGAACGATGTGATGACTCAGCAGCCCAACAATATGAAAAGATTGGTACAGGTAATCCTCGACTTACGACTGCTTGCTTAGCAGTCATTCAAAGTTTGGCCAGAGCCACGGGTGGGTGTGTGGGGGGGGGAGGAGATGCTACTTACAATCCAGATGTGAAGCTCTGCCAGTTGCTAGACTCACAACAGTTTCGTTTAGCGACTGTTCAAAGTTACAACGGCACTGGAAAAAAATGTGACTTATGTGCTTTTCACATTTAGGGCCCTTGTAGCCTCCCCATGGTCACGTGATCAAAATTCAGACTTTCCCAACTGGCTCGTATTTACGACGGTCGTAGCGTCCTGGGGTCACGTGATCTCCTTTTGCGACCTTCCGACAAGCAAAGTCAATGGGGAACCCAGATTCACTTAACAACCGGGTTACGAACTTATCAACTGCAGCGGTTCACTTAACAAATGAGGCAAGGAAAGTCATAAAACCGAGCAGAACTCACTTAACAGCTGTCTCACTTAGCGACAGAAATTTCGGCCTCAGTTCTCATAAGTTGAGAACTACCTGTAATCGCCATTTGCGGCCTTCCCGGTTGGCTTCCGATAAGCAAAGTCAGATCTACTTAACAACCTCATGAGACCTTGAACAACTGTGGCATTAAAAAGGTCACAAAATGAGGCAAAACTCGCTTAGCGGCTACCTTGCTTAGCGACGGAAATTTTGGGATCAGTTCGGGTTGTAAGCCGAGGACTGCCTGTCCAAAGTGAAAAGGGGTTAAGAAGTCTTCACAATGCCCAGAGTGAAAACTGAATTCTGAGGTTTAAAAGAATCCCCATTAACAAAAATACCACACACACATACACACAAAAATGTAAATATTTCAATTCGGGACGTGTTCTAAATCTCGGTGTTTGAATTATGAAGTCGGCATAAGAGCTGGCGTGCTCTGTGGCTGGGGATATGGTCCTGTGTTCCGTCGTTAATAATATTAATGCTTCTGCTTAAAATGGTAGTTTGACTGAATTCTTTGTTTAAGGATGTGAATTGGTTCAAAATGGGAAACATCTTCCTGGGGATGATTCAAATGGCATATGAATACAGATTTATATATATAGGAAGTTTCTCAGACAGACCGGTCTGATTGAGTACACCTTGACATTTTTAACTGCTATACTGCAGTTTTTCTTTTTTACAATATCTTTTACCATGCAGCCCCCAGGTATGGCTAACTGATGAAAGCAGAACAAGCTAGAAATGGCCGTCTTAGTCTCCCGATTTAATTCTTTACTCTTTGTCAGAAAAAGAAATTTGGATTTAAAATGTTTCGCAGTTGCGACTTGAGCCTGCTTAACGCCCCTAGTTGGGGGCTGCATGGTAAAAGATATTGTAAAAAAGAAAAACGGCAGTATAGCAGTTAAAAATGTCAAGGTGTACTCAATCAGACCGGTCTGTCTGAGAAACTTCCTGTATATACTCCCTTGACTCAGCTGGCAAAGAGGGGAGGAGAGCCTGTAGCTTGGTGGTTAAATCACTGCCTAGTATGTAAAACTGCCCAGGTTCGAATCCCATAAAGGGTATGGCTAACTGATGAAAGCAGAACAAGCTAGAAATGGCCATCTTAGTCTCCCGATTTAATTCTTTACTCTTTGTCAGAAAAAGAAATTTGGATATATATCATTTGCACAGAGGACATATGATGTTTGATCTTATTCAGTCAACTCAGTCTAGAGTAATTAAGTAGGATGTTTTTAATTAAATCAAAAGAGGTTGCGAATTGAATCCCCTTTAATGCAATTAAGCAGAAAAGCATGCGACACACAACAAAAGAATATTTGGAGATCTCAGGGCGGTCTTTACTCAGCATAATAGGCCATGAAAACTGGCTTTTAAAAACACGGAGCATTCAAGAAGCTGCTATTCCCCGTTGCGCAAGAGCGCAATTGAAGCAGAAAGCCATCTTAGATCAGTCGCTTTCTGGGTTAAAAGTCGGGTTCTGATTGTAGTTTGTCTGGGGGCAGCTAACCACAATTGCAGAGGGGTGAAATGTAGCTTCCTGCTTTAATTAACTTTCTCCGAAGTACAGGTAGGCCTCGGCTTAGCGCCATAACGGAGCCCAGAATTTCTGTTGCTAAACAAGACAGCTGTTAAGTGAATTTTGCTCCGTTTTACAATCTTCCTGTTAATTTAGTAACACAGTTGTGAAGTGGATCTGGCTGCCTCGCCCCCCCCGGTTGATTTTGCTTGTCAGAAGGTCGCAAAAGGGGATCAAAATCACCCCTGCAACCGTCATAAATAGGAGCCAGTTGCCCAGAGTCCGAATTTTGATCATGTGATCGTGGCGATGCTGCAACCGTCATAAACGTGGAAAAGGTCCTAGGCCACTTTTCCCAGTGCCGTTGTAACTTCCAATGGTCACTAAACGCACGGTTATAAGTCGAGGATTACCTGTATTGTAGGGATGCTCTTGTTCATGTTATTTGCAGTAGAATTGACCGTCTGTTTGGGCTGTTTTTTGGGGGGCTTAACGTAGAAGCAGAAACAATTTCTTTGTTGATTCGCATCTTGGATGACCGAACGCTCATTTCCCCAGAGCTGAACCTGTCGCTTTTGTGTTTGTGATTGTGTGTGTGTGTGTGTTCCAGGTGGCGGAAATGCACGGGGAACTGATCGAATTCAACGAACGTCTCCATCGGGCCTTGATGGCCAAAGAAGCTCTCGTGACTCAGATGAGACAAGAACTCATCGACCTGAGAGGACCGGTAATCATTTTCTTCTAAATAATCACTGTCATCGTTGGGATAAGCAAGGGGGCACTTTTTTTCACACCGGAGACAAGGAAAAGTAGTTCTCGACTCACAAACATCCACGTAATGACCATTTAAGTTATAACTATCCACTTAATGACCATTCAAAGTTACGATGGTGCTGTAAACAATGACCTGCAGCCAGTCATCCTTGTGGCCATGTGAACAAAATTCAGGTGCTTGGCATGCATACATGTACATATAGAGATAGAGATACACACACACACACACACACACACACACACACAGAGGATGGTTGCTTTGTCTAGAGCAGGGGTAGGCAACCTTGGCTCTTTTATGACTCGTGGACTTCAATTCCCAGCATTCCTGAGCCATGCGGAGGGGAGAGAGAGAGGTTTCCAAGCTGAGCCATGCTGGCTCAGGAATTCTGGGAGTTGAAGTCCACGAGTCATGAAGGGGCCATAGTTCCCCCATGCTGGCTCAGAAATTCTGGGAGTTGAAGTCAACGAGTCATAAAAGAGCCAAGGTTGCTTACCCCTCGTCTAGAGTCCACTTTGAGCCAGTCAGGATTGAACTCCTGGCTGTGGGCAGAGTTAGCCTGCCATACTGCATTCTAACCACTGCACCACCACGGCTTAGATAGCAATAGCAATAGCACTTAGACTTACATACCGCTTCACAGTGCTTTACAGCCCTCTCTGAGTGGTTTTCAGAGCCAGCCTGTTGCCCCCCAACAATCTGGGGGTCCTCATTTTACCAACCTCAGAAGGCTGGAAGGCTGAGTCCGCCTTGGGCCCAGTTCGGCAAAGCGAAAGGAAGCTCGATCCGAAAAGCTAACGTCTTGGCTCCAAAGTCCTGCACTCAATTAAACGGAGAGCTATTTGGTTTGCAAATCCTGATGCCTCCTGTAGCATTATGTTTATCTCCCCCTTAAGATTTTATTCCGAAATTTATAGCCAGCAGCGCTTCAATTAAACTCTTGTCCACCCCAATGTACTGGCGAGGCAGGGCCATAAAGAAATCTGCCACCAGATTATTTTATATGGCACCATTATTGCGAAGGACACAGTCCCCTTGTGTCTCATAATCATCCTGCGATTACTTCATTTCCAGCAGAACGTCGACATATCAGCTCACCCCACATTCAGGAGTCTAGAAATGCCGCTCGGAGTCAAGAGACCTGGAAGCCTTTTCAGACCCTGGTTTATTATTATTATTTTTTTTTTAATTGTTCACATCCTGTAATCAGATCAGAGTGGCTCAATTCACAGTTTGTTCCGAGCCACCATTTTATTACTGGCAATACACAGGCAGTCCTTGACAGTGATTGTTCGAAGTTAACAACGGCATTGAAAAAAAGCGATTTATGATCTTTTTTTTTTCACGCTTAACAACCCGTTGCGGCATCCCCATGGTCACGTGATCAAAATTCAGGCGCTTGGCAACTGGGTCCTATTTAACGACCCACTATGAACGTTTGTTATGCGTGTAAAATGATCGATGGTTGTGAGCCGTGAATTTCCAGGGGCAAGGCTGGAAATAACTAGGAATAACCTTCTAGAAATATTATGTATATTGCAATGATGAAACATAATAATTTATGTATTATAAAATATAATAATATTTTAGAAATAAGGAGAAATTTTCTGACAATGAGAACCGTCAACTAATGGAACAGATGGCCTTCAGAAGTTGTGGGAGCTTCATCACTGGAAGCTTTCAAGAAGAGACTGGACTGCCATCTGTCAGAAATGGTGTAGGGGCTCCTGCTTGGGCGGAGTGGGTTGGACTAGATGACCTACAAGGTCCCTTCCAACTATTCTATTCTATTCTATTTCCATTCCATTCCATTCCATTCCATTCCATTCTATTCTATTCTATTCTATTCTATTCTATTCTATTCTATTCTATTCCAATCCCTATTTTTTATTCTATTCTATTCCCTATTTTCTATTCTATTCTATTCTATTCTATTCTATTCTATTCTATTCTATTCTATTTCCATTCCATTTCCATTCTATTCTATTCTATTTCCATTCTATTCTATTCTATTCTATTCTATTCTATTCTATTCTATTCTATTCTATTCTATTCTATTCTATTCTATTCTATTTCCAATATTCTATTCTATTTCCAATATTCTATTCTATTCTAAATAGAGTCCTAAATAATATATAGAAAATAAATGAGAAACACAAATATATCTAGGGCAATATTCCTCAAGTATTTTCAGCCGCCGTTCTCCAACTATTTGATGGGCTAGCACCTTTTTTCTCTGCCTGCATTTTCAGGATGGGTTCTGATTTCTCCCTGTCCTTTTGCAGCTGCAGACATAAGCTGTACATTTAAAACATCCCATGATAATATTTTCTGACAGTTACAATAATTAATCAGTGGAACGGCTTGCCTCCAGAAGTTGTGGGTGCTCCATCACTGGAGGTTTTTAAGAAGAGATTGGCCAGCCATTTGTCCGGAATGGTCTAGGATCTCCTGCTTGAGCAGGGGGTTGGACTAGAAGACCTCCAAGGCCCCTTCCAACTCTGTTATTCCATTCTGTTAATTTATCCCACAAAAAAGTGCACTCAGTATTTTTATTCCTTCTGCTCGTCAAGCAGACTCAACTTCAAATATATTTGGAAAGACAAGAACATCCAGTTTTGGAGAGGCGCTGAATAATAAGCCCTATATATCAGTCTAATGTCTTTACAATTTTCAAAGCATGAAGGGGAATTGGGAGAGGCTGGGTGGGGCTCCGTTCCCTCTGCCACTTTGAATAAGCCACAAAGCAAACCAGATTTTAAACATCTTTCTAGGCTTTCAAGGCTGCAGCAGCATAAAGACTAAAATATCTCCTGAATTTCTAACCTCTTTAGAGGTCCTCGTTCAAGATATTGCATAAGGGGGAAGAGAGTCCTGTAAAATATTTCTCAAATAATATACCCTCAGTAATGTTTTTCCCTTCCTGAACCATCGTGTTAACTTTGGGGGATGTAAATTATTTTTTTTTAAAGGGATTGTAAAGAGGGGGGGGGAAGGCTTTGAGCCAAGTATTTGCTTTGAGTTACAACTCTGTGATGCTGATTTGAAAGACTGCACAGAATATGAATCTGGTTCATGTATAATTCTAAGCCATAAAGGGCTTTGAGGTTTCTTTTGCCTGTGGCTTCACATCTTGTGCGAATTTTGGGACTGCACTTTGTGTAAGAGTGGTCCGAAAGATTCCTGACTTAGTGTGATAAACAAGTGGGAACCTTACTTTCCAACAGATGCAAATACAGCCTGTATTTAGAAGGGAGGACAGCACAGTGTGCCAAGCCAGCTTTCGTAACACCTGAATGATCATCGCATTTCAGGAGTCCAGTTTTTGTACAGGTAGTCCTCAGCTTACAACCATAACAGCATCCCCATGCATAGAATACATAGAGGCATAGAATCAAGATCACATGAAGTACTAGTGCCGCTTTATAAAGCCCTAGTAAGACCACACCTCGAATACTGCAGCCAATTTTGGTCAGCATATCACAAAAAAGAGATTGAGAGTCTGGAAAAAATTCAGAGAAGAGCAACTAAGATGATCAAAGGCCTGGAGACTAAAACATACAAAGAATGGCTGCGGGACTTGGGTTTGGCTAGTCTAAAGAAAAGAAGAAATAGGGGAAACATGATAGCAGTGTTCCAGTATCTGAGGGGCTGCCACAAGGCAGAGGGGGGCCAGGTTGTTCACCAGAGCACCAGAGGGAAGGACGAGAAACAATGGTTGGAGACTGACCAAAGAGAGAAGCAACCTGGAATTAAGGAGAAACTTCCTGACAGTGAGGATAATCAACCAGTGGAACAGCTTGCCCCTAGAAATCGTGGGCGCTGGAGATTTTCAAGAAGAGACGGGACAATCACCTATCTGAGATGGTATAGGTCCTCCTGCTTGAGCAGGGGGCTGGACTAGAAGACCTCCAAGGTCCCTTCCAGCTCTATTCTATTCTAAATTCTAAGTACTCACGTGTTCAGAATTTGGGTGCTTGGCATGTCTTCATAGCATTTGAAATGTGGATTTACAGGCGGCTGTTACGTAAAAGCTGGGTTGACAAGATCAGAAATGAGGAGGTGATAAGCTGCCTGGGAAAGCCCAGGGAAATCATCAAAACAATTAAAAAGCGAAAATTAGAATATTTCGGACAGGTGATGCGACACCCAGGAAAATACGGCATACTCCATTTAACCCTCCAGGGAAGGCAAACGAGGTCCAGGCAGAAGAAGAACATTGTGGCTTCAAAATCTAAGGGACTGGTTTGGACAAAACTCAGCTGCACTTTTTCGTGCGGCTGCTGATAAAAACAGGATTGCCAACATGATCGCCAACGTCCGATAACGGATTTGGCACAAGAAGAGTCAATGGGAATAGCTGGACTTGCTTAACAACTGCAGCGATTCGCTTAACGACCGTGGCAGAAAAGATTGTAAAATCGGTTGTGATTTAACAACTGCCTTGCTTAGCAATAGAAATTCAGGTTTTAATTGAGTAGGTTGAGGATTTGCTTGTACCCCTACATCCAAATCAGAAATGTGGAATTCATCTGGGATGGGTCTTGCGGGTACCTTTCATTTCACGAAAAGCGAAGGAAATGCCGGAGAACTCTTGTTTTTGCTTAACTGTTGGAGAGGAGAGGTCACCTCTGTTCAGTCTGTAAAGTGGCCTGTTGTTTTTTTTTATTGACATTTTAAAAGCTGGCTTATTTATCTCTTACCGGCTCTAAAGCCAATCTATTTGGTAAGGGTTGTTTTTCTTTCTTTTCTTTTTTCTTTTAATAAAAAAAGTCCTAAAAAAAATCAAGCTGAACTGAAACGGCAAAGAGGCTTTCAAAATAACCTTTCTGTGCAAAATTTGTTCTGTTAAGTGTCAAAATTATATATGCTGTCAGCCATCCATCTGACTCTGTCTCTCTCTCCATGTGTGTGTGTTTGGATGTGTACGTGCATAATGAAAAGGGAGAAGAACAAAACACACAAAATTTTACACAGCCCAGCTGTGTGCGCTTCCTTCATCCCACCCAGAAATTGGCAGGCAGGCAGGCAGGCAGGTAAGTTTAAGGCATAGGGAGGAAAAAATATTGGAGTCTTAATGGTCCTCTTTTGTGGCGACTAGTGGACCCAGGTGTAAAGCAGATGCCTCTGAAATGGAAGTTGGAATTGTTATCACCGTGTGCCTTGTCAGAAGTTGGTGCAAGAATTAAATCACAGTCCCACAATCCCTAGGGGGCAGCAGGCTGCCGATTCGTAAATTAAAAGAGAGGGTTCTTTTGTGCTTGTTATTCCTGCCTGCCCCCGCCTATCCCCGGGCCAGAACTGTACTGAATTCACAGTTCTTTCATGCAAAAATAAAAAAATAAAAAAGAAGAGTTTACATGAATTTGATTTGTGTTTATTTCCTATCTGTTGCTCTCTGGAGGATGTTGGGCAACAAAGATATCAGTTGATCCTTGACTTACGACCGTAACAGAGCCGGCCCATCCTGGTTGTAATACAGAAGAAATGCGAAATTTGAAAAGATGTGGCTTGAAAGATCAATTTCATGGTTGGGTTCCTGACGTCCGAAAGTACAGATGCTGACTTTTGAAATGGATTAATGTGTGCTAAACACACGCTTGGGTTTTGTTGTCGTCGTTACTGTATATCTCGCCACCATCCTCCTCTTGACGGAGATTTGTGACTTGAACTTTATGATAAAGGTTTTTATGAAGGGTCCTTGGTACTCTCTGAGCTTGGTTGTTTTCTTGAAGGCATCTCATTACTCAACTAGGTAACATCATCAGTGCTAGAAAGGAATGGGCTTTGAGGAGAAGGAGGAGGAGGACTGTGGGGTGCTTGGTGCTCTCTGAGCTTGGTTATTTTCTTGCAGACATTTAATTACCCAAGCTAGGTAACATCATCAGTGTTAGTGATGATGCACTGATTATGTTACCTAGTTGGGTAATGAAACGTCTGCAAGAAAACAAGCAAGCTCAGAGAGCACCAAGGAACCCACAGTCACCTTCCTCCTCCTCCTCTTCCTTCCTTTCTCTTCCATTTCACAAATCCCACTCCTTTCTAGCACTGATGATGTTACCTAGTTGGGTCATGAAACGCCTGCAAGAAAACCACCAAGCTCAGAGAGCATCAAGGAATCCATAGTCACCCTCCTCCTCCTCCTCCTCCTCCTCCTCCTCTTCCACTTCACAAAGCCCACTCCCTTCTAGCACTGATGATGTTACCTAGTTGGGTCATGAAACGTCTGCAAGAAAACCACCAAGCTCAGAGAGCACCAGGGACCCCTCATTTCAACCCCAAGCTACCAATATTCTCCTTTACATATTTTTATATCTAGTATGATTTTCGTTTTGAGTTACTACGGATTATGTTGTTGGGTGGATATTCTTAATAATTAATGTTGGAATTATTACAGCTGTTAACTATTCAATATTGTGAAATATGAACAGTATTTGTCTTAGGCTTGTTTTGGAACATTGTGCTACTGGTAGTTTTGTTTAATTGCAAACCGTCTTTGAGCTTGTCAGGTTTCAGCACACCCATTAAGTGGATACATACATCTCTTTTTTAAGAAATAGTGACAAATTATTAGGCTTAATTAGAGTTGCTATTAAGCAGATGGGGGCAAGATTTACTTCTAATGTTGTTATGTTGGAGCTTGTTGAAGGATCCAGTTGGAACTTTGATCCTAGTGGAAGGATTGAGTAAAATAATTGGTTTTTATAATTTCCACGCTCACGGTGGAAGCTTTTAAGGGGGCTGTCAATAACAGCTAAAACTTTGAAATGAGCGCATACAATAGCAATAATGACAGGATCAAGAGGAATAACTGCAATTTTAAAAAACGCTATGCTTGCCTGGAAAAAGTGTATGATTTTATAATGGCTATTAATGTCCAGAGTGCACTTAGATTAAGGCAATCTAACACATCAAGAGAGCATAAGAAATATGCTGTAGTTCTAATGACAAGTAAGTGTGCTACATTCTAGGTCACTGTGTTTTAATCATCCGAGTCATTAATTCTAAAAAGAGCGTGAATGAAATTCACAAATTTTAACAATCCTATTGATCACCTTCAGCTAACCTTTTTACTTGAAGTATGGGGCTGCGGCGTGCCTGGCTGAGGACCTCTGAGAGTTGAAGTCCACAAGTCACAAAAGGGCCAAGTTTGAAGACCCCTGATATAGACTTTAAGAGGAATGGACTTCAACACCCAGAATTCCTCAGCCAGGCACGCTGGCTGAAGACCTCTCAGAGTTGAAGTCCACAAGTCATCAAAGGGCCAAGTTTGAAGACCCCTTCCTTAGGCATATGCAGGGTCTAAATCCATTCTTGGAATTAAAGGTGGTACTTGAGGCTATTTCTTTCTTTTAGGGCAGGGCTTTTCAACCTTTTCACCCATTGTGCCACTTTTAGGATATGGCAACATCCGAGTACCACCAGTCGCCTAGCAAGGTGTCAAATACTTGATGTCCCCCCCCAAAAAAGGAAAAAAGTGATAAAATACAGGTAGTCCTCGACTTATAACAGTTCACTTAGTGACTGTTCGAAGTTACAATGGCACTGAAAAAAGTGCCCCCCCAAGCCACAGCCGAGCAAGACACCTGCCTGCCCGCCTGGTGGCGCTCTTCCTCCTATCCAAGGTTTTCATTGTTGTGAGCATTTCTGTTGAGGATTGGCAGCGGGGGTGGGGTGGGGGGTGTTTGGTTTTTATTCCCCCCGTCTGCTGGGTGGTTGCAGCAGGTTTTGGTCACTTCACATGACCCTGGGACACTGTGACCGTCATAAATATGAATCAGTGGCCAAGCATCTGAATGTAAATCACAAGACCCTGGAGAGGCTGCAACATTCCAGCTGATTGGTGCTTCTTCAGGGCTCAGCAGAGGCACCAGGATCAGTGCTGCTTTCCAGCTGATTGGTGCTTCTTCAGGGCTCAGCAGAAGCACCAGGATCAGCGCTGAGCTCCATCTGGATCCTGGCGCTGATCCTGGCGCTTCTGCTGAACCCTGACAGCCCTGCAGCTCCAGCCGTCTCTCGCTCAGGCTTGTGCGGTGCTGCCACCGGTTCAGCTCATTCCCCTCCCCTGCTACCACTTTTCTAGGATGGTCGCGAACCACCTGCCAGGTGCCAATGTACCACAGGTGGTACCCGTACCACTGGCTGAAAAGCCCTGATCTATAAAACTGCAATATTGTCCAAGCCGTGCTGAGACTTCTATTTAAATATGATCCCCCTGGAAATGATAGGAACAGAGGCTGTTGGATTTAGGAATTAATTTTGGGAGATTTGCTGTGGCTCAGGCCGCGCTTCCCTGCTCTTTAAGACCATCGGTGAAGTAGACCCAGCGTTTAATTATATTTTTCCTTCCTCCCTTTTATTGCTCAGGTTCCCGGAGATCTCAGCCAAACCTCTGAAGATCAAAGCCTGTCAGATTTTGAAATGTAAGTTGTTAGAATGTTTGATGTGTTTATCTCATCCCCGCAATGGCTTCAAAAGAGCGGTTTTGAAGTAAATGAGTCATAATTCAGGGTTCTTTCCGTTTTGGGAATGTATTCCCCGTCTTGTAACATAACCATGGCCTTCTTGATTTGGCTCCTTATTCCATGTGCTTTGATTATTGGTAGTATCTACCGGTGGAGTCTGTCTTATGGCCTGTTTGTACTTCCATGCAAGATTGTATATACTGACTTATATATCTTCAAATCAATAAACGTGAGCACCAGGAGTATAATAAACCAAAAAAGTCTAATACCATTACCAAACACCAAGCTTTCGTCGGAAACTTCCGACATCGTCAGGGCTAAACGCCAGTCTATGGGAGAGTTCTTTTATAGATAAAATGTCGTTTGCACTCGGCTCCTGGACCTTGTCACTGGTCACCTTGTCACCGGACCGGTCACAAGGTCCAGGAGCCGAGTGCAAATGACATTTTATCTATAAAAGAACTCTTCCATAGACTGGCGTTTAGCCCTGACGATGTCGGAAGTTTCCGACGAAAGCTTNAAGCTTTCGTCGGAAACTTCCGACATCGTCAGGGCTAAACGCCAGTCTATGGAAGAGTTCTTTTATAGATAAAATGTCATTTGCACTCGGCTCCTGGACCTTGTGACCGGTCCGGTGACAAGGTGACCAGTGACAAGGTCCAGGAGCCGAGTGCAAACGACATTTTATCTATAAAAGAACTCTCCCATAGACTGGCGTTCAGCCCTGACGATGTCGGAAGTTTCCGACGAAAGCTTGGTGTTTGGTAATGGTATTAAACTTTTTTGGTTTATTATACTCCTGGTGCTCACGTTTATTGATTTGAAGATGAATATACCCAGGAGTCACGTTTTTATTTTTAATGTTATTATTGACTTATATATATATATATATATTTTTGTCACCCAGATCAAACCGAGCACTTATAAACGTCTGGATTCCTTCAGTCTTTCTCCGTGGGAAAGCAGCCAATGCATTTCATGTTTATCAAGTAAGCGTTCTGTTCAGTGAGGGTATATTGGATGACTCTCATTATCCTGGTGTCAGACCGGCCCCCAATTTGCTCCCTAGGAGAGAGCCAGCCTTGACTCCACGGGTGTTAAAGAAAAGGTACTTTTACTAGAGATGTCGAGTGCAGCGCAAGCGAGGCAAGCTCCGGAAGAAAATGGCATGAAAATCATATATTGAAAGCCATCCCCAATGTCCCCAAAACCCTGGACCCTGGGAGAGTAGTCCAATGAGGTCCTGTTCCAATGTTTTGGGAACATGGTGCCTCCAGCGCCAAGACGTTTGGCTTCATATTGGCAGCTTAAAGTTTGATCTAGACATGGGTGGAGGAGGAGGAGGACAAGGAGAAGGTGGAGAAGGAGAGGAGGAGGAGGAGGAGGAGGAGGAGGAACCAGAAGAAGGAGGAGGAGGACAAGGACAAGATGGAGAAGGAGAGGAGGAGGAGGAGGAGGAAGCAGAAGAAACAAAAGGAGGAGGAGGAGGTGGAGGTGGTGGTGGTGGTGGTGGAGGAGGAAGCAGAAGAAACAGAAGGAGGAGGAGGAGGACAAGGTGGAGGAGGAGGAGGAGGAGGAGGAGGAGGTGGTGGTGGTGGTCATGGTTAAACAAATCCGGCTTCCCCTACTTTGCTTGTTGGAAGCTGACTGGGAAGATCACAAATGTCAGTCATTTATGCTGTAAGTCACCCAGAGTTGTTGGATACAAGATGGGTGGCAAATACATTTTATGAATGATAGAATGATGATAGATAGATAGATAGATAGATAGATAGATAGATAGATAGATAGATAGATAGATAGATAGATGATAGATGATAGATAGATAGATAGATAGATAGATAGATAGATAGATAGATAGATAGATAGATAGATAGATAGATAGATAGATAGATAGATAGATAAAACATGTGACCCTGGGATGCCACAACCCATCCTCAATATACACTGGTTGCCAAGCATCCAAAATGTTGATCACGTGACCGTGGGGATGCTGCAACGATTGTAAGTGTCAGGACCAGTTGTAAGTCCCCTTTGTCAGCGCTGTGGTAGCTTCGAAAAGGAAAGCCTCTTCCAGCCAGGGTATATTTGTCGTCTATTTTCCCACATTTAAACAAAACTGCTGGTACTTAAAGCAGGGGAAAAAACATATGTGCCAGCATATTCCATTGCGTAGCAATTATCTCCTTTTAATGAGGCAAGGACGCATTTAGTATTGGAGCTGTCATCCTTGGGTCATTGATAAGAGGGGGGAAAATATGTTTCCCTCCTTTCCTTGTGCGTGTTCCCACATTACTTGTCTACAAGAATGACAGTGTGCAAATTGTTTTGCAAGTACTTGGAGATAAGCTGACTTTAAGCCCCAGGGAAGATACTTGGCATCTTCAAACACTTGATGTGACCGAAACATCATAGTCACCCACTGGACTTCTAGCCAGAAGATTATCCGCTGATACTTAAGCCTGCCATTTTTATTTTTATTTTGTTACTCTGAAATTGGAGGGTTTGTCCAGCGTATTAAAACGGAACATGGTTGGGTTCCTTGGCTTTGATTTAGTGCATTG